ACGGTGGCATGAAAAGCGGACCCTACTCCCAGCCACAATGTGACACTGTGGCTCCACCAGGTCAAGGAAGTCAGGACACCAGCAGCCTCATCGTAGGGTGAGACTCCACACACAGGCAGGTCTTCTGTGGTTCCCCAAGTCCAAAGGCCTCTCTCCCTACTCCGGCCGCTTTTGTTTGCTGGAGACAGATACACACACACAAGGCACCACTCCCGCCCCTCTTGCCTGTGACCACCTGCCAGGCCCAGGCCCTCACCCGCTCAGTGGTGCCGGTCTCGTTCTCTGTCCCGGTGCCTCTCGTGCTCCCGGGTCCTCTCTGGGAAGTAGTCGTCATGCCGATCTTCACTGTGAAGCAGGTCCCGGTGCCTCCTGCTGCTCTCTCGGGACCGGCTGGGCGACCGCTCCCTGGACCGATGTCTCTTCCTACGGGAAAGCTGTGTCAGCCTCATGCAGAAGCCTCCCAGTCTTGCTGGATGTCTCCCTGGTCACCTACATTACTCTTTCATGCCTGTGTCTTCGACATACAGGCTAGGGACTGCTTCTGGCAGTGCCAGGATTGAGAACAGGGCCTCCTGCATGGCCACTGTGCACTCTGCCATGGAGCTAATGTCCCAGCTCCTGTCTCCGGACCTGAGCTCTGTGAAGATGACTCTTTCTTGGAAATGATGATTTTACGTGTTAAGTTCCTACTAGCATATCAGGCATACAAACAGTCTGGCAGGCATCACCTTACCTTACCATTAGAGTAGGCCTCTTAGCTAAGGAACACAGTTCCCTTTTTTTTTGGGGGGGGGGTACCAGGGTTCGAACTCAGGACCTTGTACTTGCCATGCAAGCACTTATTCCATTGAGCTATCCCCCCAGCCCCAGTCTCCTCTTAAGGATAAATGAGAAAAATGACACTTGGAAAGCCACGGCCATGTTCAAGATGGTTATACAACGTCAGCAATGGAACAGATTCAAACTCAAGCTCCCGTGGCTCAAAGCCCCAATTTAACCGGTCCAGTCTCTCCACCTAAGCCCACTGCCTCCCACCAAGCCCGACACCTGGCCCCACCAACTCCCAAAGGGCACTGTTTACCTGGAGGAGCTGCTGCTGGCACCCACACTGTAGGACTTGGCCTCGATGCCATGAAGACAGTCCTTAAGCGAGGAGATGAGTACTCTGCAACGCTCATCGTTGGCTACCCGGGACTGCTTGATGACCGCAATGGCTGTGAGCAGTGTCTCGATTGCGTCACTGTAATCCCCTGCCAGGGCAGACAGGACAGGCTGAGTGAGGGCGAGCAGGGGCAGCACCCCCAGAGGAGAGCTAAGAGGGGCACAAGCCCAGAACAGGCTGTTCCCTGAGCTGTGATGGGTGAAGCAGACACGGCATGCATAAACATGGGCACACACTTATACCCAGGGATTTCGTCTGAGACGCAGCTAGTGGTTGTATAAACCAGCTCATCACTGTCCAGAGGCCGCTGACAGCATCTGTTAAGAGCGAGCCATGTGTATGCTATGTAACCTAGCAACTCTACTAAGAAATGTACCACTTTCGTTTGTAGTATTGATGTACAACGTTTCAGCGCTTTGAACTGCTTCGTACAGGGGCCAGCAACATAAATTAAAACTGTTCTGCAGATTACTGTGTGGTTAATGAAAGTATAAGGCAAATCCGCAGATAAACAAAATACCGTATGCAAAGTGCCTAGCAGTGCAGTGTCAGGCACAGAATAAGGGCTCAATAAATTTAAGTATGACAA